TGAGAGTTGCAAACACCTTCTAAGAATTTAACCCATAATTAGCTGGGATCACACTTATGAGCAAAAAAGCACAAAAATGTACATAATTTATCACAACGAAAGCCCAAGCATGCTTGCGCAGCACGCTGATGTGATTCCAAAAGACGTGATTTCCACAGAAATGGTCAGAATCTCTGGAAACTAAGAATAGAAAGGAATGTGGCTCATGTGAAGCCTTTCTCATCAGACTCAAACTTGAGAATCTTGACTTGTGTGAACCCTTGCAACTGTGACCACACTTTACATAACATGGGAGCTCAGATAAAACTCAGTGGAACATTCCTCACATTCTTGTATATGACAGGTCAGACCTGCTATTGGTTTAGATCAGGGGTTTTCAAACTGGCATGGAAAAGTTCAGGGAAAAAAAGTGCAAAAAAATAATGTTAGGAAAATATTATTAATATATATATATATATATTACACTGAGAAAACAGTGTAGTAAAAATAATAATCATTTTTTTTAATGCATTTACTTATTTATTTATAGGATTTATTTCTTTATTTATTATTATTATTATTATTATTATTATTATTATTATTATTATTCATAGTAGTAGTAGTAAAAATGTTACTATTATTATTTTATTTTTTCATTATTATATTTATTATTATCACTATTATTTATAATAATATTACATATTTAATATGTAGAAAGAGAAAATATTGACAAAAACATTGTAAATAACAACAACAACAATATCATGCATTTGTAACTATTTTTCTACTTTTTAGAGAGTATTTATAAGAGAAGTACATAGCTGTATTTATAGAAAGAGGCTCTCTTTCAAGGGGATCTTCATATTTGAAGATTCAAATATGACATCAAAACCCCTAGTTTAAATCACACACACTTAAAAGGCCAATTGGACTATTAGCTGTCACAAAGGCCAAACAAACAGGTTTGAACGTCCCTTCAATATTTCACTCCGGCATTGTCCAGCTCGTATTGTGATTCAGAAGGAGTAAACTCACCCAGAGGGGCGACATGTGCCTCTTGTGTTGGTGTGCTGAGATTCGATTCTGTGGAGAGAAGCATGTATCGGTGTTAGTTTCTCTCATGAAGTGCTCCTGAACTCAAACTACAAACTAAGACTCGAGTTCAACATTAGCATAACCGCAATAGGAATGCTGCATTGGCTTGTCATGCGGCGTACGGAAAGGTAGTAGAGTGGGCATGATGTCAGCAAGGGGCAAAATGAGGTCACTGTGTCTTTCTCCTCATAGATATCCATATTACATAAGGCAAGGGATTTACAGAGGTCTTGCAAAATACAGAGCATGTCACAGCAATAAGACATCAATAGTGGGAGGAAATGTTTACATAAAACAGAACAACAGTTCAAAAAAAGATCAAGAAGTCTCAGTTCAGATCAGAGATTAGGGAGAGAGAAAATGCTCACTTTAATATATAACTGGCTCAGATTTCGTCAGGGTTTTATGTTGATCATAGAAACATAATGCTCATAACAGCAGGCAAGCAAAACAGCCAACTCAAGTTCAGCCAAAGCCCATTTCATAGTAGCTTACAATCAAAGGCTACACTTCTATTGAGACACTCCACTCGATTTCCTAAATGGAAGTCTCCTTTTTAAAGTGTGCGTATGTGAGTGTCTTTAAGGGTGATGGTTATAAACCCATGCCAGGTCTACCTCTAAGCCCAGAGAGCGAGTGAGAGTGAGCGAGAGAAGGCCTGGCACCAGTGAGTGGGTGAGAAATAATCAGCAGGATTGTTTGGCAGAAAGAGAGAGGATCAGCGCTGGAGGCCTCTGAGCTCCACGCTCAGAAACTTCTTAAGAAATTGCACGTTGTAGGTGGAATTCATCACTCATCACAGATGTACAGGTGCATCTCAATAAATTAGAATGTCGTGGAAAAGTTCATTTATTTCAGTAATTCAACTCAAATTGTGAAACTCGTGTATTAAATAAATTCAGTGCACACAGACTGAAGTAGTTTAAGTCTTTGGTTCTTTTAATTGTGATGATTTTGGCTCACATTTAACAAAAACCCACCAATTCACTATCTCAACAAATTAGAATATGGTGACATGCCAATCAGCTAATCAACTCAAAACACCTGCAAAGGTTTCCTGAGCAAATTCACTAAAATGTTTTTTTTTATTGGTCTTATGAAGTATTCAAATTTGTTGAGATAGTGAATTGGTGGGTTTTTGTTAAATGTGAGCCAAAATCATCACAATTAAAAGAACCAAAGACTTAAACTACTTCAGTCTGTGTGCACTGAATTTATTTAATACACGAGTTTCACAATTTGAGTTGAATTACTGAACTAAATGAACTTTTCCACGACATTCTAATTTATTGAGATGCACCTGTATTGTTTGTTTGCGGCTGCAGCTGGGCAAAGACCTCCTCAGGTTTATGTCCAGGTATCTCAACGCAAATGGGTTAGTGCTTGATTATGAAAGACTATAAATTTACATCAAAGACATCTGTGAGTCTCTGGGCTCCAACTGTCACAAACAGAACTATAAATAACTGGCAGAGGGTTAACATAGGTGCAGAATGAAGGAAACCATTGCCCCCTGGAGGACACTAAAGTACACCCAGACTTAAAGGAAAGATTTAGGAAGTCAATATACTTTGTACTACAATAAAAGGTTGTGGTGCAATGTACAGCAGGTTTAAATGCCAATGTTCCGTACCTGAAAATGACGCACGGTGAGGCCAGCCCAAAAAGTCCAGTCCAACAGGTGTGCTCTGGGAAAAGAAGTGGTCTTTGAGAGAAACAGAGGGGAACTGCTCTGGAGAAGTGAGGGAAAGTCTAGCACGCACCTATGAATGAGATACAAACATGCTCATTATAATTATTAATAATAATGAGTGAATACATATATATTTGCTATTTAGAATTTTCTACTACACTACTAAATTTACTATTTACTATGCGTGTATATATATATATATATATATAAAAGTACTGACTAAACAGTAAGAAACTGTATATTATTAATGATAAATTAAAATTAAATAATTTATTTAATAAAAGAATTGTCTGTATGTCTATATTTATTTACAATGAAAAGCACTGAAAAACAGAGTTAAAAATGACAAAAGTAATAATAATCATCAGTTATTATTAATAAATATTAAATATAATATATTTATTTAATATATGTACTGAGAAAAACTGTGTAAAATAATCATTTTTAATTATTTCGATTCATATGCTCATTTGAGATTTCTGACAGACATCGGAAATAGTGAAAGTGTATGGACAGATTTTTGTGCATTCAGGCAAATTACAAGAAACGGAAGAGAAATTGGAAATCCTAAAGGGTCTACAAGGGAATGACTCCAAGAGTACAAAACAGGAAGAAAGCAGATCAGGAGAAGAAAAGGTGCAGTGGGAGATGCTGATGGTCGGGTTGTTCTCCCTTTTTGATGAGTTCCTTACTTTCTTGTGCTTCTGAGATGTTGGTGTGCTAAGCTGACGCAAACTTTGCCGCGTGTTAACCTTCATTTTACAGATGTTCTCCACATCAGTCAACGTTTCATATGAGCATGTGCGCCGACGTGTTTCGGGCGAATTGTTCTTCCTCTCCAGGTCAAGCGCCACCTCTCTGATGCCCTGAAGAGACACGGTCCAACCGTAGAGGTCTGAGATGGGTCTGGGTGCAGCTTTACCCTGCTCTCTGGACTTCACCCGAAGCACACATGCACTTCCTTGTTGTCTTCTCTCTTCTGACTGGATGGCTGGCTCAGTACTGTGCTCTACATGCTTTGAGTGCAAATTTAGGTGGTTATTGTACAGTACATGTACATGTCTTTTGATGGATGTCATATGTTAACGTTTGGTAACCATTAGCGAGATATTTACACTATACTACACTTTTTTATACTTTTCCAGTTAAGACATCATTAAACTGTTAAAAAATATCTCTAATGTGTGTATTTTGTATGCACTGGCAGATGAATGGATTTCTGTTCAAATGTTTGGGGTCAGTAATATTTTTAGTAAAGAAATTATTTATTTTATTCAGCAAAGATGCATTAATCATTAAGTTACATTAAAAATTTTAAATGTTGCTATTTCTATTTTATATAAATGTGTTGTTTTCCTCTTTTTTTCTCCCAGAAAAAAAAAATGTATCACCGTTTCCACAAAAATATGAAGCAGCACAACTGTTTTCAACACTGATAATAATAAGAAATGTTCCTTGAGCACCAAATCAGTATATTAGAATGATTACTGAAGGCTCATGTGACACTGAAGGTGGAGCTTTGCCATCACAGTAATAAATTACATTTTAAAATATCTTAAAATACAAAAGTGTTAAATTGTAATTTTAAACTGTAATGATATTTACTTATTATGATTATATGATTTTACTGCTTTAACTGTATTTTAAATTAAATAAATGCAGTCTTTGAAAACATAAGATATTTTTTTCAAAAAAATGGTAATGGTTTCTTTCAAAAAAATCTTACTGACCCAAAAATATTATCAATGCACAATGCTCTTACATTCAAAAAACAATCTATGAAAACAAACTTTAGAATATTTTACAGCTTCATGTGAAAAAAAAAAAGTCTGAAAAAAAAAACCTTTGCAGTGTAAGCCACACTTTTTGAAAGGGTTCACTACATTATTGTGCCATGGATATATAGACAATGTGATGTTAGCCACTAGATGGCACTATTTTTGAGAAGTGCACATATTTCTCTGAAAGCTCTTTAGTATTGTGACTTAAACATGTTACAACCGTTGTAATATCCTGACTGAGTCCAACTCAGCAAGAGAATGCAGGAATGTATTTTGAAAAATGCACCATAACTATCCACGTTTGCTTTCACATATGAAGAGTCTTGGGAAAAATTTTAACTGAAGTAGAATTACTAAACAGCAACGCTAAATATAGAAAGTGAGCAAATCACATAGCAATCCTGTTCAAAATGTTCAAAGGACACATCTAAGCTCTCCTAACATCATAAACTTCATAATTGCCTTTGTCTCACCTCTGGTTTGTTGATCAGGGATGCTGAATTCAGGCTATTTTGAGACTGGCTGTCTGAACTGCTGTCCTCTAGTAAGCACTCAGAATCAAAAGAGTGGGCTGTAGTGAGTTGTGCTGTCCTTGGCTTCAGAGACGTCGGTCTCAGAGGTGGATCGGAGAGACCGTCAGTGCTCACTCCCTGACCGAGCGAGCAGAGAGAAGATGCAACGGATCTCGAGGGGTAACGGAAGCTCCTCTGGTGTGTCCAACCCAGACCAGGACTGTGAGGTTTGGGGCTCATGGGCCTCGTCGGAGTATCAGTGGTCTCAAAACAGCTTAATGATCTGGTCCAGGTAGGTGATATCTGGTTTGCGAGCGCAAAAACAGTGGGGTGTACAGGTGATTGTGACCTTTCCTCAACATTGGCCTCAAAGCCATCTACTGAGACCTCAGAATCTGAGTAAGGGGCACAAGGCAGCTCACCACCTTCCAGACATTTACTATCATCAGACTGAGGTCCAGATTTCAAACTCTGTGAATCAGAATGGCACTGGTTCATCAAACTCTTTTGAGAAGCTAGTGAGCTGTTAAGTCTGGACCTGTTCTGATGAGCACAGAAGGCACAATCGATATGGCTCTGATGTATGGACTTGTCACAGGTCGTCCCAGGAACCGATAGAGTTCTTTTGTAAAGTTCTGCTTCCTTAGAGCGTTTCATCTTCCTCCAGGACTGCTTGGTTTTTACCTCCTCGTTCTCGGACTGTGAAATCTGCTCCTGGTTGTCCCTCTCAGGATATCTGGACTCAAACAGGCTAGACAGAGACTTGTGAGCTATTGCGAGCTTCATGCGTAAGTTTAAGTTGTCGGTACTTTTGCTTCTCTTTTGTTGCAGTCCCTCTGTCATTGGGGAAGCTCTGCATTTCAGTACGTCTCCATCTTTGTGCTGTTGCTGCTGCTGATACAAATTTTGACATTGCACATATTGCTCTCTATTGTGCAAGTTCAAAGAAAAAGCTTCTTCAAAAATATCATCATTGGAGTGGTCAACAAATTTTGAAATGTCTGTAAGATGATCTGTACTATGAGAAATAGGGGTATTGTACAGTGAAGGGTTGGATTTGTTACGTGTGAGAGACCTATTGTACTTCACCTCATTCCGTTCATCTCCATCCTCGTTGGAGTCCTTAATTTCTGGATCAACCTTGTTATTGCCTTTGTGTTCCCATTTGATCTTGCGGAATGAGGGGATTCTAGAAAAAACTGAAAACACAGAGCCCTTCCCTGATTGGGTTCTCTTATTTCTTGCAGAACCATGAAGACTAGATGATGACTGAGTGCTGTCCTCCATCTCTTCGCTGTTGGTACTGGAGTCAAGGTCTTGTGACACAAAACTGGAAACACTATAACCATCACTGCTATCAAATCCATTTGATAAAGAGTTCATTGTTTCTCCAGCATCTGGTTCATTCATGACAGTGGCTACACTGGCTTTTGTCCACATGGCAGAAACGTCCACATGTGGGCGGGTTGTGACGTCATCACAAGAGCTCCATTCCTCACTGAATCCAACTTCTGATAATGGACTTCCTCTCTGTTGCTCCAGTCCGTTTTTAGTCACAAATGAGCTTTCTGGAGAACGGTCCAACTCCAAAATGGCCTCTAAATTAGTGATGGGTAAAATACGGCAACATGTAACAAATGTGTCCTCGATCTCCGAGTTGTGCAGTTGCAAAGATTGCTTACAAAGAGGATCAGAAGTTTCACATATTGAATCAGTGCTTTCAGGAGAGTTTGCCATAAAAGCTTCAAGCTTTCTCTCCATGTTTTCTAATGCATAAGTATCATCGACCTTAAGAGAGCCACCAACCAGTGGTAATATGCTTTTCTCTTGGACGAGCTCTGGATGTTTGTGTGCAAGCAAATGGCCAATATGCGAAAATTCACAGTTTGTAGAGTCTGCATTAACCTCTCCATGTGTGCTGTAATGGTCATCTGTGTGTGTGTGACTCAAGGTTTGCAACACTGCAGTTCTGCTTTGACTGATGCCGTCTGTGCCCTTGAGCTGAAATCCTCCTGATGTCTGCTCTCCCTCCAGTGCAGACGAGTGCAGCTGGCAATCCTTTCCACCAGAGCAATCACAGAGCTGCTTTAATATATAATTTCTATAGCTGCTACACTCATTAAATTCAGAGGGTTTAGCAACATTATCTTCGCCATTCATTGCCATCCTCATTTCAGGTGCTTTAAAGGGAGTGGCCTGACTAGCAGGGGCGCTATAAGAGTCACTGTCTTTGCAATCACCACCTTTTGAAACTAAAGATCCAGCATTGCTGGTAACCCTGCTGTATTTTTGCAAAGAATTGGGCAAAGAGATCTGTTCACCTGAGGCACACTCTTCTAAAGTAATGGCTTTAATATTATTATTTGTGTCTGAGCTGTATTCATTGTTTCTACTGTTCAGCTGGAAATAATCAAAAGGAGATTGAGCATTTGTGAAAGGATCAGTACATGCACTAGACCAAACATCAACATCCGGCTCAATTGTTTCAATTGACTCATTTTGCCTTGCTTGTTTGTCAGACAGGGTGTCAAGTCGGCGAAATTGTTTGGAGGTCTCTGTATATTCTATAAAGCAATGTGCTACTTGTTTGCAGTTCATATGAAGGCCATCACTGAGCTCAAAGCAATCATCTGTGGGGCTGACTTGAGATTTGTCATACGAAATCTCAAACAGACCAGCCAGAGATTCGACAGGACTGTCTACAGGACACCCATCGGCTTCAGCTGTCTTCATGTCAGGACATGTAACACTCAATGACTTGGGCCTAGTGTATTCGATGCATCCCGAACTATCAGAGTAAATTACTGACTGCTCTATTGAGGGAAGTATTGTACATTCTTTCTGGTACCCTTTAATAATGTGATGTGTTTTGCTATCCTTCTGTGTTCCTTCTAAAACGTCACCATCATCGGTATCAAAAGTTTTAGTGTTAACATAAACTTGTGCTTCAGTGAATTCACCCTGTGTGTTACAATTAATTCTACTATTAGGGCACTGATGGGTTTCATAAATATCAGCCTCAGGCTCATGTTCCCCTGAATAAGTTTGCCCACTGTCCTCTAAACAATGACTGTCCATGTGATAACTACTAATTGAGTAATCCTTTTTTTTAGTGTGCATTTGTAATACTGGGGCATTTTGGTAACCATAATGAGGTCTGGCCTGCAGATCTGACTGTTCTGAGGTCCATTCATTGATCACACGCTGATGCAATGAGTCTGACACTCCAGCAGAAGTTGAGAAATTTGAGAAAGCTCTCTCAGCTGCAAGACACTCACATTCAGAAACAACAGGTGGGGTGTCATTTAAGTCCTGTTTTTTAAAATTTAGACTGTTATTCTTTTCGAAGTTCAAATCGAGTTCTTTGTCAGTATCCTTTGATGAAAGCCTTCCAGAAGGTTTCAAGGATGGATTGACTTCACAATCCATGCAAACATCCACGCAGTCCTGTTTTAATTGTCCCTTTTCATAAAAAGCCACTGTGTTTGAAATAAAATCAGAGTCTGACTCGGTCACAGTCCACTGGGTGTTCGTAGAATTTGCCTTAATGAAATCAATTTGTGGTTGTGTGTCTTCTACTGAGGACTGTGATTGGCTGTGTTCCATTGAAGTTTGTGATTGGCTGTGCTCAATGAAGTTCTGTGACTGGTTTTGTTCAGCTAAATCCTGTGATTTCCTGTGATGTACAGAATCCTGTGATTGGCTACATTCTACTGAATTCTGTAATTGCCTGTGTTCTGTTGAAATATGTGGTTGACTGTGTTCTACTGAGTCCTGTGATTGTGTGAGTTCTACTGAATCTTGTGATTGGCTGCATTCTACAAAATTATTTGATTGGCTATGTTCTACTGGGTCCTGTGATTGGCTGTGTTTGATAAAATTTTGGGATGGCATATCTTCTACTAAGCTCTGTGACTGGCTGTGTTCTACTGAGTCCTGTGACTGGCTGTGTTCTACTGAATTCTGTAATTGACTGCATTCTACGGAACCCTGCAATTGGGTGTGTTCTACTGGGGTCTGTGATTGGCTGCATTCTACAGAATGCTGAGACTGGCTGTGTTCTATTGAGTCTTGTGATTGCCTGTGTTCTACTGAATTCTGTGATTGGCTGCATTCTACAAAATCCTGTGATTGGGTGTGTTCTACTGGGGTCTGTGACAGACTATGTTCTACTGGGTCCTGTGATTGGCTGTGTTTGATGAAATTGTGGGATGGCATATCTTCTACTGAGCTCTGTGACTGGCTGTGTTCTACTGAGTCCTGTGACTGGATGTGTTCTACTGAATTCTGTAATTGACTGCATTCTACGGAACCCTGCAATTGGGTGTGTTCTACTGGGGTCTGTGACAGACTATTTTCTACTGGGTCCTGTGATTGGCTGTGTTCTACTGAATTCTGTGATTGACTGCATTCTACAGAATGCTGAGACTGGCTGTGTTCTATTGAGTCTTGTGATTGCCTGTGTTCTACTGAATTCTGTGATTGGCTGCATTCTACAAAATCCTGTGATTGGGTGTGTTCTACTGGGGTCTGTGACAGACTATGTTCTAATGGGTCCTGTGATTGGCTACATTCTACAGAATGCTTTGACAGGCTGTGTTCTACTGAATTCTGTAACTGACTGCATTCTACGGAATCTTGTAATTGGGTGTGTTCTACTTGGGCCTGTGACAGACTATGTTCTACTGGGTCCTGTGATTGGCTGTGTTCTACTGAATTCTGTGATTGGCTGCATTCTACAGAATGCTGAGACTGGCTGTGTTCTATTGAGTCTTGTGATTGCCTGTGTTCTACTGAATTCTGTGATTGGCTGCATTCTACAAAATCCTGTGATTGGGTGTGTTCTACTGGGGTCTGTGACAGACTATGTTCTAATGGGTCCTGTGATTGGCTACATTCTACAGAATGCTGTGACAGGGTGTGTTCTACTGAATTCTGTAACTGACTGCATTCTGCAGAATCCTGTGATTGGGTGTGTTCTACTTGGGTCTGTGACAGACTATGTTCTACTGGGTCCTGTGATTGGCTGTGTTCTACTGAATTCTGTGATTGGCTGCATTCTACAGAATCCTGTGACTGACTGTGTTCTACAGAATCCGGTGATTGGCTGTGTTCTACTGAGTCCTGTGATCGGCTGTGTTCTACTGAGTCCTGTGATCGGCTGTGTTCTACTGAGTCCTGTGATCGGCTGTGTTCTACTGAGTCCTGTGATCGGCTGTGTTCTACTGAGTCCTGTGATCGGCTGTGTTCTACTGAGTCTACTGAATTCTGTGATTGGCTGCATTCTACAGAATCCTGTGACTGACTGTGTTCTACAGAATCCGGTGATTGGCTGTGTTCTACTGAGTCCTGTGATCGGCTGTGTTCTACTGAGTCCTGTGATCGGCTGTGTTCAACAAAATCTTGTGATGGCCTGTCTTCTGTTAAGGCCTGTGATTGGCTGTGTTCTGCTGAGTCTTGTAATTTGCTGTGTTCTGCTGAGTTATGTGATTGGCTGCATTCTACAGAATCCTGTGATTGGTTATGTTCTGCTGAGGCCTGTGATTTGCTGTGCTCTACTGAAGACTGTGATTGGCTGTGCTCTACTGAGGGCTGTGAATGGCTGTGTTTTGTTGACTCCTCGACCTTCTGTTCAATAGGCTTCTCAACTGATACAGACTCATATACAAAAAGATGACGTGATACAGATAAACTGATCTTATTTTCATCAACACCCAACTCATGACATTCAGCATCTTTACTATTCGCAACAGATGCATTAGAAATCAACTGTATTTCAGTGTTACTACTGTCAATATCATTTTGCTGTAACTGTTTCTCACTTGAGGTTATGAACTGTATTTGCGGCTCATTGTGTCCTGACTGAGTGTTCGTGATATTTTTGTTAATTTGATCCCATTTTGATTTTCCCTCAAAGGTGTCAGCAAACTGAAACTTGGCTCCATCACTGTCTGTTAAGGTCAATAATGAGTCATTAGCACATGGCTCAGTGAGTGTTTGCGGTTCCACAGAGTTCTCTAATGCCAGTAGAGGTGCTACTACATAGGATTGGCCATTCCTTGAAGAAGAATCAACTTCAGGTTCCGCTGGAGAATTGTTGAAAACCTCCTCACATTCCAGAGCACCCTTAGCTTGAGACATTCCAGTGCCATCAACTCCCATGTGCATCACCCCCATATTTCCAGTCTGTATTTGCAATTGCTCTCTATCCACTGTTCTACAGAGACTGTCAGCATGATTGACAGAATGATGCTGTTTTGTTGAAGAGGGATTTCTCCCTCTAACCAAAGGTGACGGTTTGACAAATGGAGAGTGTGTGTCCAGATGACCCATAGAGCAAGATCCAACCTCATAGCTGAGCGGTGTCCTGCAGCAGTCCTTAGTTTCATGACTCGATTCAGAGAAAGTGTCACTGGGCCATGAGTGTGTGTCAAAATATTCCTCTTTTGTGTCCTGTGCTGCTTCAGGAACCGGCTCACACCATTCCTGATGGTCCTGTTGCTCTCCTTGCTCCTCCTGCTGAGACTCCCCATCATCCAGACAAGCTGCCTCACTCCCAGAGTCCTCTAAAGCTGGGGCCTAGGAGGACAAAGAGAATGTGTGAGTTATTTTGCTGTTCTTAACAAAGGGGACTTTATTTTTCTCAAAGTAAACAGTTTATAAGTGACATCAGTGAGGCGATTCAAAATAAGAATTGAACAATTTGTTGAGTCTTTTTTTTTTGGCTGCAATCAATTTAACTCTAAAGAGGAACACATGTTTGTGAAGTTACCAACAGAGGTATGATAATCATTCAATTACTCTTAAATTCTTTCCCCTCACAACTGGAACTAATGTGTCACTCAACCAGTCCTGATTTATGCAGCTAAATCAAAGCTCTTTAGGAAGCATCTGATCCATTAGCTCATTTGTTCAAGGAATTGTTTCCCATAAACAAAATTGTACATGATGATGAACAGATGCAGACGTAATGAACACACAAGAGCATAACAGATTGTATGAGTCATTAACATCATATTAGCACAAACAACAGGGGAACAAAAAAATGACAACTGACGAAAAAGGCTAATAAAAAGTAATTGACAGCAATACAACAGATTGCATATACTATAAGTAACACCATATATCACAGTCAATGGAGAAAAATGCATTTGTAGCCAGATAGTGTGGTTACAAAAATCTACCTGTAGGGACTAACTCATAACTAGACCATACTTAACAGGAAAAAACCTGACCCCATGAGCTCCACTCATAGTCAGTAGGCTGTGGAAAGGGATGGGAACCTGCACCAGAGCAGACATTTGCGCTGTCATCCAGCTTAGGTCAAACATACAAACAATCCCCTAAGTAGACCACCAGCCAACATGCTGTTCACAACGCACTGTTTTTTTCCAGCACATTCCACAACCCCTTCTTATCAGCCTCATAACCCACTGGTCTGTATACCAGTAACTAACCATGTCTCCAATCTAGTGAGCTCAAACGATTGTAAAAGTAGACAACAAACTAAGTCAGTCTGCTAACGAAAAAGATGAGAGCCCCTGTCGTACCCTGCTTGTACTTAATAATTGAGGGGTCATCGGGCACAGCATATCTCTAGGTAATCCAGACAGGTCAAGCTACTCCAAACCCTTCAGGTTAAATTAGGGAAGACATTAAGAAGAATGGCTTTAAGTACAGCAGGTAACGAAGAGTGCCAAATACTGCACAGTCTTTGTCAATGTAAACAATGCATGAATCTTATGCTTGACTGACAGACAGACAGACATAGATAGATAGATAGATACATAGATAGATAGATAGATAGATAGATAGATAGATAGATCACAGATTAAATAGCATTATGCATGAAAGAAAAAGGATTATAATAAACATTTTATATATACATGCACACACATACAGAATACAACTAATTTTATAGATTTATAAATATATATATATATATTTCTTTCATGCGTGATGCTGTTTTCTCATTTTAGAGATGTAAACAAACTCCCTAATGTTCAATATCCTATTAACTAAACCTACGTTTTACTTGTTTAACAGTGTTTATCAGTTTATCAGTGTCAAAACTATGACAGAGCACATAGTGATACAACATAAGCCAAGAGTGAAACCTGTCCGCATTGGCCTCAGCCAACAACACGTCATCTGACCCCATACAGGAACAAGAGCTTGTTTTGCCAAACTGATTACAGTTGACTTCTCTAAATGGCTTAACATCTTAACACTATATCATAGGCTGGGCAGGAGAATGGGAGGATTGGGTTTGTGTTAAAGTGTGAATATACAATATACATGGTATGCGTATAAGATAAAAATGGATAGACAAAAAAAGCACACGTGATTGTGCACACAGGACTGCTACTGACCCTTAAAGCCACTTGACACGCTACATGATGACATGCCTGATAAATATTCATATATTTATTCACAAGATATTCACAGTCCTTCAGCTTGGTTCATATTTTATTTTCACTGAAAAAGTTTGTCACTCATTAACAACAAGCCATCTTAAATATACAGGGTTAATAGAGGACCTTTGGGACATTTGTTTCCCCAATCATCTATATATAGTAACTTCATGTCAAAAAAGTTGTCGACTCCATGTACATCCATGAAAACTACAGGTTCATTTTACATGAAAAATTAGATGTTTCTTATAGCCTTCCTGCTATGTAATTCCCATTATAAGTACATCAGACATAATTCTTCAGCAAACAACAGTGCAAACAACTCTATAAAAAGATATTATGAATAACTAATAACAAGTAAAAAATAATTAAAAATGCAATCAAAGTCTCAGTATTTTGCTGCTAACCTGTCGTAATAATAATGAGGTATACACTCTCAGTCATTTAATAATATCCGTATCATCACTTGTGTGGCAGAACAGATTGTTCTGATCTTAAGTCCCCACAATGTAGTATCTTAAAGTCACTGGAACATTATAAAAGAGAGAGAGAGAGAGAGCGCTCACTAATGAGATGCACTGAGAATACACTGTGAGCTCAGAGTGCTTTTGCTTACATCATTCCTCATGGGTGCAGGATCACTGCACAGTCCAGACTGAGCGTCTGCTTCCTCTAACCCTAAAGACACGCAAATGTAGCATCAACATACTGTATGCTTCTGCACATGCAGTGTGTTGAGGTCATGTGACAGTGTAACAAGTAGCATGCTTTATATACTGTTGTTTATTGCCTGATGTTGTAACATGATTTAATAATTAGATTCAGGGGGGAAAATAGCCAAAGTTTTGGAAGCAACATTCTCTGTCTTCCACATCACATTGTTTTATTTATGCATCTATTCATGTATGCATTGTGGATTAGAATACAAAAATAAGAACAACAGCCAAGTCATTGAGATGAATAGGATTGCTAACAATATCTTTCTCCAGGCATTATAAACCTCCTTAGTTTAGATTTATGAGGATTTATGATACAGGAGTAGTGGTTTGGTTTCAGGGGAGGGTGATTTTAAAGTCAGGAGGTGATTGAGATTCTGGAGGAGGTTCAGGGATGCATCGCATCGCTCTGGCACAGTGAAGTGCTGCAATCACAGGATCCTGCTGCTCTCCCAACATGAGCATGAGCTTATCCCATCGAGGAGGCCAACCACAGAGAGGGAAACACACACAAACAGATCTGCATACATGCAAGGATGACGTGTCAGGAGATTGTGGGTAAGTTGCTCCGCATGAGGGCTGCTCTTATTTCCAAACATAGTGGTGAGGAGCACAGAAAGCAAATTTAACACAGTGAAGGTCATATACCATCAAATCCAAGATGTGCAGTAATATCCTGAAATATGTGAGACTTTATATATAATGATGAGGTCATCAAAGACCATATCTTCTACCAGCTTTCTCATCAGATGAGAATTTGACCTGTGGATTTGAAGTAATAGTAAAATAGTAAGATGTCTTTGCAGAAATGTTTGCTTTAGATATAATTTCACCTGAAATGCATCTGAATAAAACCCAGTGGATATATTTTTAGATATATTTTAGAGCTTTAGCTTTCCAAGTATAGTGGAGCCTTCATGTGCACTGCTGTGCATAGTAAGTGGATGTGGTGATTTAGAGCTGGTGCACACACAACTGTGATCCTCTCTGTGCCAACTAAATCAGCTGAATTTAGAATTTAAAACCACTAAATCATTCCAACACTTCATCATTTCCGTCGGGTTCATTCGAAGATTCTCTTCCAGCTAACTTTAAGGTCATGTGCTCACTTTGGAATACCCCATTTGAGCCATTACATCTGCACCAAAGGTCCATTTCTCATTTAGCTTTGAAGTGCAGGATCTGCAGGTATGAGGCTCCTTCTTTCATGCCAAAGTATTATAAACATGACCGGCACTCAATTTTGTATTATTTTTTAATTGCACTAGAAGTCTAGATCAGTTATTCACTGTAGAGTATCTGAGGCTTTTCAACTGCACATTTACGCCAGGTTCTACTCCAGTCATTGGTAAGGGTGTAATTCAGCGTGACATGCCTCATCTACTGAATAAGTGTCCTCCAGAAGCAGCATGCAACACACAGGCTCCATAAATCAGATCAGTGTCATGCACATCACACTTGCATACGGAGCATGCGGTAAATTGTCAGAAGATGTGCACACTGTCTGACAGACAGTGAAGGTCAATGCTTACTGTTGAGATGAATCTAATTCAGAGATTGCAGTGACAACAAAGAAACAGAGACATAAGGAATATTGTGTTTGTTAGATTTCAGTTCAGGCATTTTCAACTCTGCTTGCATTTTGACAATCATAAAACATGTTAAAATTACTTTTTGATGATTAGGCTATATTTGCATGGCAGTTAATACATCTCAATTTACATGGATTTGATCATGTGATTTACACCCTGTGCCTTTCACCTGATTTACCTTAAGTCAGACTTTTCTCACAGGAGTCTAATAGCAGAACATATTCTCCCAGTCTGTTTGCTTTCCAAATCTGATTATCATATTATCTAAAATCCCTCATGATGCACTGAAGCACAAGAGGTTAAATACACCCTCATCCCTGCAATTTCTCTAAACTATTAGGGATCCCAGATAAAGGGCACTGCATGTTGAATCAGCAGACCAAATAACAAGTACTTTCTTGTTCCTAATGAGGAGGTGATGAGCAGCTTATGCAATGCTCCCCTGCTGAGAGACAGAACTTAAAGCCTTGCTCTGATAACTCTCAAAGAGACACAGAAAAATGCACAGGGAAAAGACCTTTGCCCTATAAACTCATACAACGGCTCCCTGATCCCTATTTTCCATTCTAATATGCAGAAGCTTGTTTACCAAACAGAATGACATATACTTTATCAGTGGTTACATAATCTAAACAGACACAATCGCCAAAACACAAGGGAGCTGTTTTCCCCAAAACAGGTTCACAGGGCAGGGACATAACACACAACAACACATCCACTGAACCATAGCTAAATACTAAATAATATATGTAAAACAAAACAAAAAGCATTTATTTCTTTATCCCTACATGGTACATATTACCTTAATGGTACGTATTAGTACTTTAAAAAAGCACATTAGTACCGAATGTGTACAC